GCACTGGTCTATTTGCGAACTTGCTTGCGAACTTGGTTCGGAATTTCATTTTCATAACGAATTTCGATAATTTGATGCGAAACTTTCGAATTTGATTGGCCGGTTTCCAATCAACTTGATGATCTCGTGTTTATAGTTCCCAAATTCCCAACCAACCTCGCAACTGGCGCGGCCAAAGTTTCGTGAAATAAATAGTCGTTGATAATAATTATGCATATGCAGGTAGTTTATTGAAGTGAAATTCATCAACTTAACGAATAAAGGGGCAATGTCACCGATTATTTACCTAAAATGCCTTTTATTCAAAAACTGAACTACATGAAAGTTAAAAATAAACATTGTAAATGGATTAAATTATGATGTACGAGTCATATTAAACAACTTTGAACTTCCACGCAACATGTAGCGTGACATTTTCATAAAAATTAAAAACTAAAACTTGAAAAATTGTCCGCCAACAATTAATCAAGATGCCATTTACAATCCATCTCAATCCTGGCGTAATCTTGCCCATCCAGACTTCTGTACATGCTTTTTGTGTTTGCAATTGCTTTATTTTTTGCTTACACTCATTCTTTTTCAGTTTTGGGCAAAATTTGCGAGGGTTTATAGAATTGCTCAAAAGTCGGTGACATTGCCCTTTTAAGTCCCAGATAGAGTTAATTTTCAAAAAGTTAATTTTCTTGAAGTTATACGAACATGTTACGAAGATTTTACGAAGATAGTACGAGTTTATAGTGGAAAACCCCTTTCAAGTTGTAGTGACGTCACCCTCAAAGAACGCCCGTGAGGTAGTCAACCCCATATGTTGAATGAACATAGTGTGCCCAAAATACATTGGAAAAACCGAAGAGAGGCGCACTTTCCCTGTTATAGCTTTTAAAGGGTTATGGGCAATAAAAATTTAGATTTTCTCATTTGAAAGAACTGTTAAAATTATATATTAAAGTAGCACTGTCATTAAAATTTTTATTTTCTTAAACGAAAATCCTCCTAAAGCTGTATAGTGACTTATTTTGAAGATTTTTGTTCCCATGCTTAGTTCTTGAGATATTTCATTTTGTTTGTAACCATGTGACGTCATTTACTCAATTACATATATAATGAGATATCAGTAATTGTTGTGCATCTTTGCTATTTTTTATCAAAATCTTTCGGATAGATGCGGCGCGTTTGTTAATTTAACCAGCTGCATCATAGCCTGCGAACAGGCTCTCAAGCTGAATTGAGAGCCTGCATCGATGACTAATGAATTTGAATATCTGCGTCTCAAATCGTGACGCGAAATTCTCATTGGTCAGATGCTATACTTTATATGTTTCCGCTGAGCTCTATATATGTCAACTGCTGAAGCACTATGCATAAAAAACACATTAACTGATCAAATTGGTCTTGGCCGTCTTATCTCAAAGCACGAAATGTTCTGTTTTGAGAAAACAATATTTAAAACATTTGAACTTTTGCTTGAATATCTTATATTTCGAAAAACAGTATAAACTGTACGGTCTAAATTTAGTTTGCACGGTCTAAATTTAGTTTGCACGAAAGTTGTAAAAAACACCATATAAGGATAGACATTCCATATTTGGAAAAACGAACGTTACGGGGCAGATATTCAAATTCATTAGTCATCGATGCAGGCTCTCAATTCAGCTTGAGAGCCTGTTCGCAGGCTAGCTGCATCATTAAGCATACTGTTTTTTTAAACAAATCCTTCAAAAACAGCAAAGATACACAACATTTACTGATAGCTCATTATATATGTAATTGAGTAAATGACGTCACATAGTTTCAAACAAAATGAAATATCTCAAGAACAAACCATGAGAAACAATTTTATCAAAAGAAGGTACTTTACAGTTTTAGGAGTTCTTTCGTTTGAGACAATAAAAATTTTAATGACGGTGCCACAACTCTCACCGATTTTTCATATCTTGCTTAGGGACCGGTCATAAAGTAACAGCTAGGGTGGGCTGGAGTGATTTGGGATGGGCCATGGAAAATCTTTGGGCAGTTGGGATGGGCCGTCAATTTTTTTTGTATGTCCACGGTTGAGCCACCAAACAAAAACCCATGTCGACTTCAAAAAATAAGGATATTAATAATAAAAGTAAACAAAACTATCCAAATTATCAAATGCAAATGATGCCATTGGAGCCAGTACTTTGTCAGTTTATACAACAACAAGAAGTGATCGAATCACAGCAAATACAAGAAACTGGAGAGCGGCTCAGTATCGTAATTGGTGATGATTGTGTGTTGGTCAGTCAAGCTTGGTGGAATTATGTATGTCAATACAGTGCCGGTGTATATTTACAATGTTCCGTACCTGCACGTGTATTTTCCCAATTCAAATTGGGTGGGGGTGGGTCATGAAATAAATTTAGTAAGATTAGATGGGCTTTGAAATTTTTATGTACATCCTAAGATGGGTCACCAAACTTATTGGCAAAATTTGTGATATACCTCCAGCCCACCCTAGCAGTTACTTTATGACCAGTTCCTTAGTTCTTGAAATATTTTGACTGAAAACAATGAGAGGTCCGCCATCTTGGTCAAATTTTTCATCTCATTAACTGTGGTTTTGGTGACGTTTATAGAAGGGTTATCCAGTACTCTTTGGTGCCAAATACCAATTGGAAGGTTTGGAGTGATTTTGTTATTTGAAAAAGTTCCGGAGTATAATTTTGAGCTCATATTAAAAATAAATACTTTCCAAACAAAGAACTTGCTTTATTTAAACGGAGAGTTACACTGTTATAATGCAAAAAGAAACGATGGAGCCATAATCATAAATATAATTACTGAATTTTTCATTTCATTTTATTCCCAGAAATGTTAACATATATAGTACATATACTTATTAATTAAACCTAGCTAGAATATAAAACTTTTACCTATGGCTATCGGTGTAGGCCATATCATAACATGCAGAATTTAAAACTTTGTAACATTATTATAAGTGAGTGTTGAAAAGCCTTTCTAAAAAATAATAAAATAATAAAATATAATAATAAATATTATTACTTTATAATGACAGTAAAATGTTATATCCAAGTCAATATATTCAATAAATTGCGATTTAAGTTTTGCACATGTTGGACTTTTGATAGCAATGTATACATACGTATGCTGAACAAACTTCTATACGGTGACTCGCCAATTCTTTTTGACACACTTGTTGGCTAAAAAAAAATAAAAAAAAATACTTAAATCAAGTATAGGGCAACGCATGATGTCATCGTTTGCTAAAGTGCGGTTGTTATTCTGACTAATTTTATACTATGTGACTGAATTTATAGATCTAAATGACTTGTAATATCTTAGAAATTCCTATCTCTAAAAATCGTTACGTGTCCTTAGCTCAAAGCTAAGCCATTATGCATTAACGTTGTCCTCTACAGATACCCATGTGCATGACCAGCACATTATTATTATTAGCCTATACGCTTTCCTTCAAACTTTTAGCTCTTGGCCGCAATGAAGAATTTCGACACAAATAAATTATGCAAATTAACTATAAATACTGGCAAATACTTTTAGGATCTTCATGCAGTTGGCTTTAGAAGCAGCTTCATGATTTCTGAGCTTATAGCGATAAAGTAAACTATGTTGGGAGTGGATCAAATTTCCTGGGACACCGGCTATATATATATATATATATATATATTGCAGTCTTTTCTAAGTCAACTATCTTAAAGTGTAGAGACCTGAAAATTGCAAAGAAGGTTTGGGAAATGACCAAGTTACAAAAAGGTTTTATACATATAAATGTATCAACATTGTACAGCACAGACACAATTACTTCCAGCCAATGTAGTTGAAATTTCGGCATTGATTGGAACAATTTTAGTCGTCGCATGACGCTCAAGACTAAAATGCATTGCAAAACAACATGACAATTTGTCAATTATTTAGTAAGACCTTCTTTTTGACTTTTTTAGTGAAGCTGGAAGCCTTCGTAACGTTTCTGAGACAAATTTGAGTTAAGTGACTAGCTTGAAACTACCAGTGTAGTTCTTGGAACTTCCACCCGTATACTGCCCCCGCGTTGTTTGGATAACGGGGGTGTAGCTTCTACAAGTAAGTATGGTTCCCACCCTATCCTTAAAGTAATTAATAACTTACGACATTTGCCACATTTCCTTGGGCAATCGGTGAAAAACGTGAAATCTTTACACGCAGACTCGTCTTTTGTGGAACAATTAGGGGCGTCTGGTCTGCAATCTATAATATGAACAGAATTGAGAAAATTCTTTCACATAAAGCAAAAATAGAGCATGCATTTGTAAACCCATACTGTATACGTATCTTCCTTAAGTCTGTGTTTTTCACTTCAACCTTATCGTATTCAAACGCATGCAGCGCAGGATTGAAAATTAATGACTTCGATACATGAATATAAGAAAACGATTAAACGAGGGATGTATTATTCACTCTGAAAAAGCGTGCGAGGATTATTGGGATTTCAAAACCCGGCGGCAAAAATGCCGTTTATCAGGCCATAGTTTATAATGGATATTTCAGTGCGAAGATTTTAGGACTGCAATTTGAAGTGGAAAACAATTTTAATTATGTATTAAGCCACACGAAGAGTGTTATTACGATATCTGACCATCTCCGTGTGACCAGAAATAAAATATTTTACTGGTCATACTGCTCTCGGAAGGCTGGTTTATATACTATCAAAGTTTCAGAATTTACAGAAATTTGTGTGTTCACAATAGGAATTTTGCAACGGTAAATTTTAAGTTTTGAAAGATTTGTAAGAAATGTTTAATTTGACTGACTTCGGCCTTGTTACATACCGAGTCAGTTTCTTCAAACAATTCTTACAACTCTTTCAAAACTTAGAATTTACCGTTTGCAAAATTCTCTGCCGTGATCATAGAAACTTCGATATAGTGTAAGCCAGTTTGCCTCGATGATAACATAATTACGCTGAGTACGCGCGGGAGACTGAAACTCGTAACTTACGATATCCGCTATCATTGGCTTCACTTTTCCTGATTAGGCAATTGAGTGTAATCTCATTCCAGTTAAGTATTGAGTTCAACTTTTCTATACTTACATTCTGTGCACTCGTAGTCTATGTCGCAGCATTTATCTATGCCAACCTGGCAAATTTCATAACGCCCTATACAGCCGAGTAATGGCGGGATGGCAATGCACTTCAGTGCTGCAAAAAAATTAATTTAAAACAATGAGTCACCATGCAATAACGGGCACAACGGATGTGTACTCCTAACAATTATGACCAAAAACAACGAAAATATTTTAACGGACGCGAATGCTTTATATAGCTTGTGAAACGTCTCGATGAGAACATTCGTATTCTTCAACAATTTAAATTAAATGAATGATAATTGGTGAGAAAATTGAACTTAAAGTTTATATATGTAAATCAGGATGATTTGTATCAGATATACAAACTCCTTCACGCTCATGATTTCTTTTGTGCTTTCTTCATGAATTATTAAAGAGTTTCACAATTATATTTTTAAAGCAATTTTTATTTTAGCTCCCGTAATAGTTGTAAACGAGATTGTAAAACAAAATAGTAATTATTACAAGCTTTTAGTAATATTATTCATTAGAAATAGTTTAAAAGAATACCTCTATACACACTATTAATTGAACAAAATTTTGTGACTTTCCTAAGTTGTGTTCGCCGAAACCAGTATAACCCAGAGGAGGAATGAGGGTCTTCCCACAATGCACTGCGGTTCATTATTTTCAAAATTGAAATTCGCGACCACGGATTGTGAAAAATTGTGGATGGTTATCTTGATTATTTCTCTGAAAATTTTCTATTTTCAAAGCTTAGATTTCAGTAAATATATTAATTGTATATCGAATTTTTTTTTTTTATTTTTAAAAATTTCTATATTGCGTTTTAGTGATGCTAATCGCGTATTGTATTAACTCTTTTTACGGGTCAGAGTACAAATCACGAAAGTGGCTTTGATATTATGCAGAAGCTATATCACTTTTTTTCGTGAAAAGTCAAAATAAATCACAGCATCGAATTCAGGAAGAGTTGTTCTATCTTATGATACTTTAAAACCAAAAGTAGCTCGCCAAACTGACGGAGTAATCGCGATTTGAAAGTGAGGTAATTTTTACTGTGTTCTGAAATATTGTTGATTTTCATTTCGTCTTTTCTCTCTGAAAAATTTATTTTTTCGAAGGTAACTTTTTATAAATGTATTAATCGTGTATCGAATTTAATTATTCTTATTTTTAAAATATTTTTGTATCGTGTTTTAGTCACGTCAATGGCCGATTGTATTTGGCCTTTTTTTAATCAGAGCTTAAATCACGAAAGTGACTTTGATATTATGCCGGAGCTATATCAATTTTTTTTGTGAGAAGTCAAAATAAATCACAGTATCGAATTCAGGAAGAGTTGTTCTATCTTTTGATGCTTTAAAACCAGAAATAGCTCGCCAATCCGACGGGCAACCGCGATTTCAAAATGGGGCAATTTACTATACTCAGTTGTGGGTGGCGGGAATTCAAAACTGATATGGCGCGAAGTCTTCACGACTATTTCATTATTTATAAATATATACTTTGAATTCATACATTCATGATAGACTTTGTTGCGATAAACTGTGAGTCATGAAAGCCCCCCAAAAATGTATGTTGTGTAGTCTTCGAATTCAAGTGTTTGGCAGGAAAATGTTAGACTTTTTTCTTGCTCTATTTAATTTTGGACAAGTGCATATTGAAACATACATGCAGATTTAATTACATTGCAGTAAAAGAACCATTTTCCTTTCAATCTCCCTAAATATGTTTCCTTGCATATGATCAGAAGCATATCAGTGACCTTTATTGAAACCTTTTAACATTTTATATTGTATTTTTGAAGTAGCTAAATACAGTAAATAATTTCTAACACAACTCTATGACCATTTATTTGAAAGATTAGAATAAAAAAAATGCAAAAATTGTTTTACTTACACTTCAACATAGCATGCTTCTTGAGCACAATTTTATTTAATAATACAGACACAACAAGTTCTGCTGTAAATGTATTTATAAATATTTGTAAAGATGAACAGAATAACAACTGCAGTAAATGAAGATGGATGTTGTGGATGTAAATATACTACCTGACAAGTATACTGAGGTATCTAGCAAATGGTCCTTCATTTAGATCTACCGACTACAAAG